AGGGAAAGTGTTTTCAAAGGTGTGTCCAATTTTTGCATAGCTTCTCCAATTTTAGTGCTATAAAGCATACTTGCATTGTAACACAGCAGTTCTGCATCAGAAAGTCCAGCATTACAAAAACATTTTGCTTCAGAAGTGTGAACGGAAACAAAAATCAGTAATCGCTCTATGTGGGTCGCTAATCATTCTTATCAACTGAGGTTTAGAGAGGGAAGCTGCTATCAATAAAAGCTGCTGTGCGCACAACGGATGTGCATTAGCTGTTAGTGTGTATGCTCATGGCTAGGGAGAAATGCACAGTGGTTTTTCATTGTCCTCTTTCTCCATGAAAGAGCTAGCTCGCTGCAGGTGAACTGTAATGCAGGCAAGCGTGTGCCTGTGCACGTCAGGATTGTCAGACTTGGGGGTAAGTTGCTCTTCCACCTGAGCCTAGTGTCTCTTGAGTGAAACATCTTAGAAAATGTGGGAAGATTCTTCTTATGATTCTTATGATAAATAGGTGCTTCTGTCGCTATCAGCTCTTTCAAGATTCTGGGAGAAATACAAAAGAGCCAGTCAAGATGTCTGCAGAGATCTTCAATACTCTTCTAGTAACTTAGTGTAGTGATAATGTAATCTTTCATTGGAATTTTATTTAATGACTTTTGCTAGCCAACTTCCTTCCCACTTAATTCATACTAAGAGTCTTGACACACTGACAGTTAAGTTATGTCTGCTTGCAGAAAGAAGTTGGCAAATGCTCTTGGTTATTTTTTTTTTCTTGGTTTTTAATATTTTTGGGAAGAGGAGGGAGGTACTTAACTCGGCCAGAAGTAATGGAGGAAGGCCGAGTCTGCTCCAGGTCTGCAGAGGAATAATACTTTTCCTAATCTAGGTTCTGCTTTTCAATGCAAAGAATCTTCTAATATGCTTAGGTACTGTTACTGTTATCATTCTAAAAAGACAGTAATAGTGATTGATGGCAATGCTTAGGATTTCTACAAGTTAGAGAGGCTTCACTCTTGTTTGAGTGAATGATTGTTCGATCAGAACATGGTAAATATGAAGCGCAACAGTTACTGTAACAAGTCTATTGTTTTTTAAAGCTATGTTTGAAGAAGTTGCCTTTGTGGTGTTCATTCTGTGACCTTTGGAATTTGTCAAAGATTCTAATTTTATAAATATTCAAAATGTCCATAAGCCTAGACCTAATATTCGATGCATGTATTGCAGTGCCCAGGAGCTAAAATAATTTTCTGATTAAGTGCTTTCTTTTCTCCATGCCTACATGCTATCTTGTGGCAAAGATCGAACTCTAAGCCATAAGTGCTACTTGGGTGTAATATTTATGGCCAGTAAGTAGGAAAAAGCTTGTTACAAAACCAAACCATTTCCCTTTTTATAGTATTTTGGAACTGATTTTCAAAAATCTAAATAGGGTTGGGGCTGATGCCTCTGCCCAAGGAAAGGCTAGGGGGAGGGTTTTTCATTGTTAACAATACAGATATTAAATTGAGATAAAACGTTTAGTCACTTAGTTTCACTTGTTTTGGAATTGGTTGAGTTTATACCCTTTTTCCCATTAAATCTCAAGAGTCAGAGGACAGTGTGAAAGCTTACTTGCCAGGAGTTCCTAGGAGCTCAATTCCCAAACTAGGCAAATGTAGTCCAGAAATGCAGTGAAATTTCGTTCTCTGAGTGAAAACTGAGAGTACCAGCAAAAAAATCTGGGGAATGTATTTGAGACGTCAATATATGGATCAGGTTACCAATGTATTTAAAATGTTTAATGCTCTGTAAGAATCCATTTCTGTAGTATTGTGAATCTTATTTTTTTCTTTTAAATTTCTCAAACTGTGCTAAGGCAAAAATTACTGGATTTGTTTGTATTTTTTTCCTTCTACTTTTTTTTTTTTTAACAACTTCTGAAATAGGAATCCGGAGCAGGTGAATGGATAGATTTTGGCATGATGAATTTATTAAACTCTATGTATCTCTCTTGGTCTTTCTT